GTGGGTGTTAACTCTAGCTAGTAAGAAGTTCTGCTGTGCTGTCATACAGGAGGGTGACTAGAGATAACAGTAATATGCTCATCATACATTAACAATGTTAACCTGCTAAGCCTATCACAAACATTATTTAGCCCATATTAAACATCACTGGGAGCTCCTATAATGTATACAATGTCTGTAGGTTATTCATTAAAAAACAAAAAGTCACACTTCAAAGGGTAGTCCCTTAAAATATCAGCTATGAACAGAGAAGCAAAAGCATAGACATAACAAGGATATTAGGTGGTAAAGGGGTGGAGAGACCCTAAGACACAATCACTGAGCAAAGAAATTTAGAAACATATACCCTGATGTCAGTAGCTCTGATTTCTAGTCACACTCTGTTATTTAGTCTAAATTATGATATTCCCACTCTAAGATTACAGTTATTATGATTTCTGCTTTCTCTAACATCAAAGTATATGACTCATATGGCTGGCAATGTGAAGGTACACTAAATTATAGAGCCATTAGTAAAGTATTAGACTTTAATTTAGTCATGCTTCCTCCCCCTGAGGATTCCAAAAGAGAAAATATACAGGAAATAATAGCAAAACATAACTTAATCACAACCAGTTTTATGAGTACAAAAACAGCCATTAATTCTCTTGGAGACTCCAATTTTTAACAAAAGGTGGGTTATTCAACAATCACTCCTCTAGGCCAAGAATGTGTAACACTAGCTACAGTCAAGGGCCTGAGATACCAGATTATTTCACCATAGTAGGCCCAGAAATGCCAACACTAATGAGCTGTCGAGGGCTGAGTAAGTTCTTAGAGCTCCCTACAACCTATAACACTCACAGGCTGAAGGGTCTCAGTATCCTGGGCCTTCCTAAGAGCTACACCACCACGGATTTCCATTTGCTAATATTAGCAGATGTCTGTAGCTGCTCACTGCTATCAAACACCAAAATACAAAACTGTATTCCAGGCAAGCACTGGAAGAACATTCCCTCACCAACCCAGTATTTCTATATCCAAAGAGCAAGCAACAGACCCCAGGCAGGATGAAAACACACGTCTTCTGCCATCACCTCTGCAACAGGGCAAGCTGGTTTGAGCTATTCAAGATAAGGCCTGTTGCTTTCAATCAGCCTTCAACATGCCATGGGATAACAGCCAAAGTAAAGCACACATCCTGTCATGTGGGTGGGCAGCAGCATGTTAATTACTAGAAAGTTTTGAAATTTGTACTATAGTTATAGTTTTCTCCCACTTCAGTTCTTAGCTTAAAATATACTATTTACCAACATTTGGTAAAATAGTAAAATCTCACACAGAATTTCCATGTAAATTCTCTTAACACATTAATGGCATAGACACATATTTTTTAAAATGGAAATGCTTCACTTAAGACCAGCAAAATATTGGTCATCTCTCAAAAAATCTCTATAAGCTATTCAGGCTTTCAAGAGGCATGTTTGCTATCACCTACATATTATAGCCTATTTAATGAGGCATATTTTGAGCAGGTGGAATAAATTATTGTTACCTTCTGATGTGTATAAGACTAAGTCATCTGGAAATCACTTTAGAGCATCTTTTTGACATAATTGGGAAGAGGTCGTTAAAAGTTAAAAACAATTCTAAATGAAGGTGATTAACTGATAAATGGTAATGATGTCAGAAAACAAGAAACTGCGTTTATAAAGCCAACCAGAAAAATGAACTAGCTATACAAATGAATACTAATAGGAACCCAACATTTCCCATAAAGTCATATCACCTAGTATGAAAAGGTTCTATTGTGTATGTAGCTTCAGACACATAATTAAATATAATTAAAGGAAGCAACTATAAAAATCTTCAATCTTCCTTACTACTTAGTTACTGCATTGAGTATATTCTTAAGCAGAAAACATAACAAAACTCATTTTAATGAAGTAAATGTCACTTTATGAAGAAATGTATAAAAACACATGCAGAATACACATAGGTGAACACAAGCTCACAATAATCTATGGACTAACTCTTGTGTGATGGAAAAGCCCTTCTAGGAAACTTCAACCACCTAAGATTTCAGTGTTTTATGATATGATAATTCATTGCAGTGGCCATACAATATATTGTTGTAGTTTATTTAAGAACAATTAAGTTACATGTCAGAACTTATGATAGTAACTTTCCTTTATTGTGGTATTATATAGTAGTATCTGGTAGTTACTGATCATTTGCTAGTATGTATTAGGCACTGTTATAGACATTTTATACAGTCTTAACTCTCAATATCCTAAGATCCAGTAAGTTCTTCGTGTCTGGATTTGAAAATAAGCACACAAAACTTAAGTGTTTGCCAGGTGTCCACTCAGAGATCCAGTTGTAACTGGACCATATATGACTCAAAAATCCATAATGGTAATTGTTGCTGTCATAATCACTATATTAAAAGCAAACACTGCCCATTTTCTCAGTTTAGCTTAGATTACAACATGGTTTCTGCCTTAAAAAGGAAACATATTCATGCCAAGGCTGCCACTCTGATACATATGTCAGTAACATCTATTTTAAATTATGTTCCAACTGTTATGCTTTCTGATTCAGTGCTGTAGAATCTTATACTGGGAATGAAATTCTTAAGTCAGAGAGGGAAAAAAACAGCATTTACTAGAAACAATGTTTCTAGTTTTTCATAATTTCCAAAACAGTATTTTTTCTTCAAGAATTAAAAGAGAAAACCATTACTTATGTGTGCTCTGTAATATCACTTATTAGTATTTGGTTCTCTTTTTTTATGACAAAAGTAATTTTGGAAGACATTCCTTTTCAATCTCACATGTTTCCCCAATCTTTACACTTACGTGTGTGTGTGTGCGTGTGTGTGTGTGGTGTGTACATATGTGCACATGCACACATGTATGTTCATGTGTGCATGTGCAAAAGGCCTATGCCTTGAGGTCACAGGACAGTTATAGAAGCTGATATTCTCCACCATGATAGTTCTGGAAATGGAATTCAAGTCCTCAGCTCTGTTGGCAAACGCCTCCACCTGCTGAACCATCTCAATGGCTCCTGATCTTTTCCTTTTACAAAATATCTTGTCTAACCAATGTTATAAGGATTTTAAAGGAAAGCAAGTATGTAGTTTATTTAGGTTTAATTGTTAAATTATAGCAAGTTTCCCAACAGTTTACATATTGAAATAGTCTCATGAATAGAGATGCTAAGAATCAATGAACCTGTAAACTTTCTAATATTTTCCCCTACAACTTATAAAGTGGCTCTGGTGACATTCTTGGGTGCAAAAAAGTCACAAACGCCATGAAGTTTGTCATCAATTACTATTGCCCTCTGCTTTGTATATCACAGCCCTCCCCTCCCCCTCCTCCTCTTCCTCCTCCTAATAATGATAATAAAGGAATAATAATAATAATGGAAGCTATCTGCTGCAAACCTACTACCTTTCTCTTGAACTGAATTTAAAACCCTGAAAATACGTACAAGACACAAAGTGCTAGAAAAACCTATCTAGTTTGTGTTGGATTTCAAGTCAGGAGTGGTGCTTCTGCAACCTCTTACCAAAATACCAAGAATTTTGTACAAAGAGGAGGAGGAGGAGGAGGAGGAGGAGGAGGAGGAGGAGGAGGAGGAGAAGTAGGAGGAGGAGGAGGAAGAGGAAGAGGAGGAGGAGGAGGAGGGAGAAGAGGAGAAGGAGGAGGAGGGAGAAGAGGAGGAGGAGGGAGAGGAGGAGGAGGAAGGAGAGGAGGAGGGAGAGGAGGAGGAGGAAGGAGAGGAGGAGGGAGAGGAGGAGGAAGAGGAGGAGAGGGAGAGGAGGAGAGGAGGAGGAAGAGGAGGAGGAGGAGGAAGAGGAGGAGGAAGAGAAAAATCTCAAGATGGGGGAGGGGGCCACGAAAGGCAATTCTTCATACTGAAGTAGTTTCAAGCAAAGCTGATGAGAGAGCTCTGGAGAAGGCTCAGCTGTTAGAGAGCACTAGCTTCTCTTCCAGATGGCCTGGTTTCAATTCCCAGCACCCACATGGTGGCTCACAACCTGCTGTGACTCTAGTTCCGGGGGATCTGATGCCTCATAGTACACCTAACCAAGTGGTTCACAGACAAAACACACATATAACATTTAATCTCATTTTAATTAATGAGGAAAAAATAACTATTTATGTGTGAATGTTCTCTCACTCACTCTCTACACTACAAATGAAATTCTGGTAATAAACTGAGCCAGATTCATATTATGAGCCTTGTAATTTTAATAGTAAAAGCCATCTTCAACCATATAAACAAAGTACTCTCACCAAACTAGTCTACAATTAAAAATCGTACAATTCCAAAATAAATGCTTTTGTGAAGCGATCAGACAGACCAGATTTATTAATTCTGCAAAACTGAGCTCGAATTATTCTACACCTCGGATTCATCAAATCTCAGCCTCAGAACTAGAGATAGGTTGAAATTGAAATCAGGTGACCCAAACTTCGCAAATAAATACGTGTGAAAAATAAAAATGCGATTGCCCTCTCGATTACACACTGAGTTGAACACAGAGATAAGCATTCAGTTAGTTCTACAAGGGTACTATTAAGAATACAGAATTAATAACACATTCAATGTGACGTCTTAATATAAAGGAGGGCAGAATAAAAGTTAAATAGTTCCTCTGTGCTGTCAAGTACTTCCCTTAGGGAATTTTCACAACCAGCATGCCCTTTAGAAACACCAGCATCCAAAGTCCGGCCTACACTTGAAGCACGTTGCACAGCCATGGTCTTTTAAGCATAGGCTTGCAGAGTTCAGCTCACACTTCCAGGCTGTAGTAGGGTCACCCTCAGCATTCAGTCTGTGGCGCCCAAGGGACACGCCCAACCCGCTCCCGCCCACATAGCTCCCGCCCCCGGGCGCCAGCTCCCACATCCCCGCTGCCTAGCAACGCGGCGGGGCTTCCTAGCAACGCGGCAAGCTCCAGCCCTCCCCCGCCCTGAGGCGACCGCCCGCGGGATCCAGCCTACCTCCTTTTTCTTCTGTCCGCCCCCGAGCTGAATGCAGAGCAACAGCAGCAAGAGGAGGAAGGGAAAGCTACCGGTAGGCAGGTAGCGCAACCGGCGGCCCGCCTGTCTCCGGCGTGAAGGAGCGGCCCTGGCACTCATGGCCGCAGGGCTGTGCCTCCTCCACGCGCGGTAGCCGTGCGCGCCCAGCTCCTACCGTGCCCGCGCCCGCCAGGCCAGTCGCCAGCAGCCTCTCTTGGCCAAGGCCTCGAGGTGGCAGCGGCTTCTCCAGGGAGCTGGGTGGAGGCTAAGGGCGCGGAGGAGGAGACTGACAGAGCATCCGGTTCACCAGGAGAGGGACCGGGAATGGCGCGGGATGGAGCAGGAAGTGGGCGTGGCGAGAAGGAGGCTCAGTGCGCGCGCGTCTCAGCTGCTTTGGGGGCTTCCTGTGTGTCAGCATCAAAGAAGTAACCCCTTGCTTTCACGTCTGACCGACGCTGGGCTGCTCTCTAAACACAGCGGTGCAGGAGTATGTAAATGAGCTGGTTAGTCCAACCTGCCACCTGGATCAGGAGGCCATCCCGCTGCCTTCTTTGCACCAGAAGGCTCCAATCAAGAAGTAGCTAAGGACTCCTATGTGCCTCTTCTTGAGCCCCCTACAACTTACAACATTTGACACACAACTAAGTCGCCTGGATGCACATAAGTGTTCTACACTTTTGCCGGGGTTTCTTCCACCTTCCATCAGGGCCCTTCATTCACTGTTCATAGAGTTATCAGCATTGTTCTAAAGAGTCTCAACATTTTTCTTTTCAAAAATGAATAGAGCATAATTAATGCATCTAGTACATCCATTGCTTTCCTCTACCTCAAGATTTTTTCTCTTGTACAATGAACACCTTTGATAGTCGGATGAAACCTAAAGACATCATTTAAAGTACTCATAACTGCATAAGATAGAGATGTATCAAGGAATCGGTTATAAAGTAAATATTATTAACATTGAAATAATTCACTTTTGCTGGCCAACAAATACTTGTAGTGCGGAGATATTTATTAGACAATGTTGTAGATAAGAGAAACAACAGGTTAACACTAGGCATACCGAAAGGTCACAAAACTCAGCTAACAATTCACATGAGATTTAAATAGTGGTCACAATGGCATCTGACAACAGTTTTAATTTAGTGATCTTTGACGTAGTGATCATAGCATTCCATGTTACCTGTAGCAAATGGGCTGTGATATGCCAAAGTCAGTTTCCATAGGTAAGTAATAAATACTGCTGATTCTGCACAGTATAGCTTATTCCTGCTTTGTAATTGGATGAAAATACAGTTTTGTTAAAAGGTCCATTTAAATGGGGTAATTCCTTTTACTACATGGTTCCGAGATGCTCCAAAATCTCAAGGACCCTGTACTGGCTGGTTTGGTGTGTCAACTTGACACAAGCTGGAGTTATCACAGGGAAAGGAGCCTTCCTTGAGGAAACGGCTCCATGAGATCCAGCTGTAAGGTATTTTCTCAATTAGTGATTAAGGGGGAAGGGCCCATTGTGGGTAGTGCCATCCCTTGGCTGGTAATCTCGGGTGCTATAAGAAAGCAAGCTGAACCGGGCAGTGGTGGCGCACATCTTTAATCCCAGCACTTGGGAGGCAGAGGCAGACAGATTTCTGAGTTCGAGGCCAGCCTGGTCTACAGAGTGAGTTCCAGGACAGCCAGGACTATACAGAGAAACCCTGTCTCGAAAAAACAAAAAAAAACCAAAAAAACAAAAAAACAAAAAAAAAAAGAGCAAGCTGAGCCAGCCAGGGGAAGCAAGGCAGTAAGTAACACTCCTTCCACTCCTCCATGGCCACTGCATCAGCTCCTGCTTCCTGACCTGCTTGAGTTCCAGTCCTGACTTCCTTTGGTGATGAACAGCAATGTGGAAGTGTAAGCTGAATAAACCCTTTCCTCCTAAACTTGCTTCTCGGTCATGATGTTTTGTGCAGGAATAGAAACCCTGACTAAGACAGACTCCACACAAAAAATGTTTGTTCCACAACCACAGTAAGGATGTTTTAGTAAATACTTCATAGATACATTAACACTCAATACTTCTGTGGTACAGCCAGAGGGAGTGAAGCAGAAATTCAAACTTTAACAGTTCATCCCTATAACTGTGCACATACTACATCACCATTTTTACATTTTTATTTATTTTTATTTCATGTATATGAGTGTTTGACTGCATATGTGGGTCAATTGCATGCCTGGTGCCTTCAGAGGCCAACAGAAGGTATCTGAGCACTTAGAACTGGAGTTACAGATGATTGTAAGCCATCATGGGAATGCCAACAATTTAAATCTGGTCCTCTAGAAAAGTGGCCTGTGCTCTTCACCACTGATCCACCCCTTAGCCCATCACCCTTTAAAAAGGAATTCATAAAAAAAAATATCTCTTTTATGATTCCCAGGTCTTAAGTGTCCCAAAATTGTCTAAACATTCTGTTCATATTAATTAGTTCATGTCCTTTTCATTTTGGTTTTCAGACAGAGTCTCACTCTATAGCCCTGATTATAACCAAGGCTAGGTTAAATCATGATTCGCTTGCCATTATCTTCCAAATGCTGGAAATATAAACATATACTCATCCATCGAACCTGGACTGGGCATTCTTCCTAAAAGAATACCTAGACAGGATTAAGGTTGAGTATAAGTTATTCTTAATGCTAGCAGCACTCAGAATCAGAAGCAATTCAGAGAGCTCAACTCTACAAAGAGTTAAGTTGAAACCAAGTAAGGCTACTTCTTGATTGTCCATACCTACACATTTGGCTTCTGAAGTATCTGAAGTCTTTAATTAAGAGGACTGTGTTTATGTGGATATGGTCTGATAGAAGATCCTTGTTATGTAGCCTATCTACTAGTTGACTGCGGGGCTATTGCATGTGGCTCATGACAGAAGCCATCTAGGAAAGCCTATAGCAAGCAAGTGGGTTTTCTGGAAATGGCCCACTAATTTTCATGGCTGTGATGGGTTATCTCTGGGATGCAGGGTCCTCGGAGATTTCATCCAAGGATTATTTCTCACTGCAGATATGTTCTTCCTGCCCCGATTACATAGCATAATGATTCCTGAGCATCAGCCCACAGTATTGAGCAGATTTCCTGCAGAATCAATATGAAGGTATACTTTCAGGTAGTAATGCTGTGTAGACAAATTGATGATTTAATAATTCCTGATAAATGATTTTATAGAACTCCTAAACTGATACAAGTAATATCAAGCCCCCTATAGAATAAAAGTTGCAAATAGAGCACTGTAAACCTTCATGTGTCACAGACTGATTACACTAGGAAAAGGAAACAGGCTCAGAATAAATTTACAATCAAAGAAAACATTCCTTCTAGACTAGGAATGAGGCCACTATCTTGTAACAAAAGATCATAAGCTGGGAAAGGGCAATATATTGTAGGTGCAAGGACAGAAAATAAATGATAGGTTAGTCTATCTATACAAAAGTTCAATATACTATAGACACAAGGCATATGATTTGTCTTTTGACAAAACCATACTAATGTGACATAAGAAGTATTGCTTTAAACTTACAATGAACTTATGGAGCTAGTAACAGATAATGAATATTTAGTCAGGAACTAGTCTTAATAGAAAGACATGTAAACAATTCTGCTGTTAACTCCTTAAGCCTTGGCAAATTATGACATGAACTATTGCCCTTAAAGTTCCTATGAATTTATTAAATGTAAAAATGCTTTTAAAAACGTGATCAACTATCATGAGATGGTATAAAAATTAATAACTACAGTAAAGTGTGGTGTAGCTCTTTCTTCAGCCTCATCTGGTATGCATGTTGTCTGTGTTCCTAATATTCTTTCTCTCTTTTCTTTTCTTTTCACTCTGGCTCACAAAGAGTTAACAAACTCTTATCCTCCAGTCTGGACAGCTAGGGGTCCCCCAAGTCAAAAAGAAAAGAACCCCCAAGTAAATAAAAGTTTCTTTCCTCCTACTGCTGTCAGCAAAAGTAATTGCCAGAAAAAAGCTGACAACCTTTGACTCGGGATAGCAAGAAAGAATTAAATTGCCAGAAGCCAGCAGCTTTTAGCCTCTGAATAGCAAGAAAGAGTAAATTACCAGAAGTCATCAGCTTTGAGCCCTCATCACCAACATCACACACATTTGATGCCTGTCTCAGTTTACCCTGTACTGTCAAAGCTGGCTTTGGACATGATCATATACAAAATGAGGTGATTTGAATAAGACAGGCTCTTATATTTAAATACCAGGAAATGACACTATTTTAAAGGATTAGAAGGATTGGAATGTGTGGCCCTGGCTTTGGGGTTTTAATAGCCCATTCTAGGCCCAATTATCTCCTTTGTATTAGAATGTACGCTCTCAGTACTACTCTAGCATATACCCACATGCCACCATGTTGCCTGACATGATAATAATGGACTAACCCTCTGAAACTATAAGCAAGACTCCAGTTATAAGTGAAATGCTTTCACTTATTAGTGTTGCCTTGGAGATGATGTCTCTTCAAAGCACTAGAACAATGACTAAGACAGAAGTGATATTTGGTGTAAGGAATGTGCTGTCACCAGATTTCCTTACCTCCTTTTGCTTTTATTCCTCTCAAAGAATATCTCCCCACTTTCACCTTGAGGCATTAGAAAAAAAAGCTCAACTTTTGTCCATTTGGAGACAATAGGAAATGTGTTAGTGACAATAAATCATCATCCACAATCTACATATACTCTATAGGCTCAAAGTCCATTATCCTGTCCTTTATCTCCCATATGGCTCTCCATGTTCATGCAGAAATTACAGTCACCATCACAATTACAAATGCGTAGGGCCTCAGAGTATTTCCCTGTATTCTCATGATCCATCTGCAACCCACAGTTTCTGGGTGTTTCATTTCGTTTTGTTTTTCTACATCTATGGTGTTGCAAGCCTGTTTTCCTTCTATTACTCATAAGAGAAGCATTAAGCAACCCTACAAAGATTGCTCCTATCCTGTGAAAACTCTATTATCCTCCTCGTCTAGCATGAGCCCAGGCTCCTAGTCCTGCCTCCTTACATTTTACAGAAGTCTCTATAAGACAGAAACTTGTGTAAAGTGCCATCATCACTAGAAAAAGCATAGCATTCCGTATCTTCAAGAATACATTTCCTTGTCCGTGGTGACCTTTCTGAACTCATTTTCTACTTCCTCTTCTAATTTCTCACTGCTTACTACTTAGCTGTTTTGTTTCTCTTAAATATGTCATTTACACTCTGTCTCTTGGCTCTGCACTGATGATCTCATTGGTGTAAACATTTTCACCTAAATAAAGTTT